TCTCTGGTAAACGTTAACAAAAAACGATGGAAAATCACCATGTTTAATGGGAAAATACACTGTAATTGGCAATTTTCAATAGCTATGTTAGTTTACCAGAGGGTATCCCAACTTGGTATCAACATCATAGGGATTATATCAATTATGTCCCAACTTTTTCTGGTAAGCCATGGTTGTTTTCCCATGTTTTTGTGGCCATTTGATCCCTACCCAGTAGCACCAGTAGCACGAAACGCAAAAACCCCCCTACCCAGGGGCCACAGCCATCTCCAAGCGAAAATCATCATCTCCTAGGCCCTTTACCCTCTGGTAAACTAACAAAAAGCTATGGAAAATCACCATTTTTAATGGGAAAACTCACTATTTCGACTGGGCCATTTTCTATGTCGCAAACTGTAAACGTTTACCAGGCCGGGTAGGATCCAACTCGGGAGGATCATCCAAGATCCATATCCACAGCTGGTTGGTGGTTGAGCTACCTACCTAGCCCTCTGAAAAATATGATGGAGGAAGTTTAGAAATGTTGGGATTATGACATTCCCAAGTGAATGGGAAAGATTAAATTCATGTTCCAAACCACCAACCAGCAAAGCAGTTACTACTTGGTGGTTTTCACTACCCACGAATCCTAAGTGGGTGAAATATCCCTGCTTCATCCAGTGGGATTTCTGTAGGGTTTTCATTCACTCAAAAAACTGGGGTGAGCTAACCTACTTATTATACCAAGTGGCATGAACCAGCAAGTAGTAGATCATCCAATTTCTTATTAAAATCGGTATCCATTATCCATTAGATATTCACTTGAATACCCATCACACTAGGCTTATTAAAATTGGTTATATCCATTTATATTCATTCATATCCATTAAATATCCATGATGCCTCCCGTATGTTTGAACATCTTTTGGGTTACCACTAGGGTCTTTTCAAATTGGGATGAGTAGGTGGGGGAGTCCATCAATGGGGGTACCCCAATAAATCGCTGGATGGGTTATAAACAATGGAAAATACCACTGCGGCTTACTATATTATATTACTATATTGGATATTACTATATACTATATATTGGGTGTTACTATACCATATGGTTCCATATTGGATATTACTATATTGGATGATTTGGGGGTACCCCCATGACTCAGGAAACCTCCAGATGGGATAACCAACCATCAATGAGATGGACATGGGAAGCTACCAGTCATGCTGATCAAACTATTCCTATGTGACAGGCTGTTATACCTATTCCTAAAGGCCCTACGAAAACATGTTCTTCAACTATATCCTGCCAAAATCAGCTAAAATTCCTTGTTCAACATACCCCCTGGTAAACAAACAGTTTGCTATAGAAAATGGTGATTTAGTTCGTGGATTTACCCAGCTAGATAGCATGGTGGATCTTTCCATCGTTTTTTGTTAACGTTGACCATGGCTGCCACGCCTCAGACATCAACTGATCGGAGCTCCACACGGCGTGCCCCTGGCCGTAGCGAGGACTTTTTGGGTGGTTGATCCCGGAAGATCCATAACCCAAGATTTAAAATACCATCTGGTGATTTAAGGATGTTTAATGGTGATTTAATGGTGGTTGAATGGTGGTTTAATGGTGGTTTAATGGTGGTTTAATGGTGGTTTAATGGTGATTTAAGGATGCTTAATAGTGATTTAATATGATAATATATATATATTCTAATATTCATAATATATACCATCTGGTTATTTAACATAGCCATGGAAAATCCCTCCAGTAAATTCACATAGACCCTGCCATTTTTCGGGGTTGGAAGACTAGTGAAACCACTAAAAACTGGTGATTTTCAGGGTCTACAAGTTAATTTACCAGAGGGTACAATGTTTCATAGTTGCCAATAGTTACCATCTGGTTATGACTAACAGATGCCATGGAAAATTACCATGCTATTAATAGGTAAGCCATCTATTTCTATGGACCATTTTCCCATGGCGAACTGTTAAATAACCAGAGGGTAACCTATGTTTGTTATTATCATTAGGTAATTATAGTTATTATTACTATTACTACTATTGTTATTGTTGCTATTGTTGTTATCAATAACCATTACTGATCACCCTCTGGTCTGTATACGAATAATGTATAATATATCACGTGTATATGAATATGTATATATCAAACCCAATTCTGGACCAACAAAAACATGACATTGATCCACTAGAATCACCATGTTTTGGTCAAAATCCAATTTTCCTGCAGTGTCCCATGATGTTCAAATATGTTCAACATGGATATAATGGGGATTATAAAAATCCCATTGACTCTAGATCTAAAAATCCCATGAACTAATTTTCTATAGATCTACCAGAAATTCAATCGCTAAACGTAACCTACTGAACCAAACCAACTATGGTAAACTGAGCCAGAGTCATTTGTGGATGCCAAATCACAATTTCATCACAGAAAATGCTTCAGGTAATATATCATTATTATAAAGATGTGGTTTTCACCTATCAATGGTAACCCTACAAAAAACCATACCCAAATTCTGGTTTATTCTTGGGCCCCTAGAAATGGAATCTCCAGGCCCTTCCACCTGGAAGACTGTGGCACTCTGAGGCGAGAGGTTCTCTTCTCGCGCTAGAACCTTTTTGCAGAGCCATGGAGAGCGATAGAAAGGAGAGAGGTTGGGATTTACTATTGGGATACTATTGGGATAGTATTGGGATACTATATTATGCAATATGATATATGTTATGGCTTTGTTAGAGATCTTTCGGGGAAAAACACGTCCATCCCATGGTCTATCGTCTTTTCCCTATGAATCTATTCAGAACTGGGGGGGGTGAATGGAGGCTTGGCCCTCAACAAATGGTGGGTGAAGAGCAACATCAATCAGGACTTTCTGGCAATATAGTTACATGATGTTACATGCGAGCTGGGAGATTTATATACCAATTACTTAGCTTTTCGGATGATAACCGCTTCTTTCAGACAAACCCAAGCGGTATTAGCCATCGGAAGGCTGGTTGAATGATATTCTGCCATGTTCAGCCTTGTTGATTTACATAGAAAATATGAGGAAAATCCACCATTGGTGAATGACTTCCTAAGGAAACCACCGCTTTTCCATATCTATGTTACTTTACCCTCGGCTTCAGATTTCAACAGGTTGACTTATGAGTGTTTCAGGCCATTTTTTCGAAGGGGATGATTGTTGCATAGGCCAAACATAAAGCCTTACACCGTAAATTTCGATGAGGTGCCTCCCTCTTAGGTAGCTAAAATTGGAATTCAATTACTGCTGCTATCAAGCCATACGGCCCAGAAGTAAAAGTGAGGGATCATGGGGGTTATCCTCTGGTAAACTAACATAACTATGGAAAATCACCATTTTATAGCTGGTTAAATAGACTATAAATGACATGTTCAATAGCTATGTTTGTTTATCAGAGGGTATCTGGATATAGGCAGTAAAAACATGGCATCCCAACAAGTTCAACCAACACTTACAAGCTGGTGTCCCAGTTCTGGTAGATACGGTGGATGGGCCAGCGAAATCCGAATCACCAGTTGAAAACGGTGGGCCAAATCCCATTATTTTGTTAGGCTTTCTACCATCCCAGGTGGTGCAGATTGTTCGCAACCATCCACAGTATCTCTATAGAAACTGGTTGGTGGTTGACCTACCCCTCTGAAAAATATGAGTCAAATGGGATTATTGTTCCCAACTTAATGGAAAAATAAAAAAAAATCCAAACCACCAACCAGGAAATTATGGGCACAAACCAACATCACATGGGAACACCACCTTCTAGCACGAATGGCTGCATCGCAAGGTCGGTGATCTGTCTCTGATGGCCGTGTCACTTCGGACGGCGCTGAGGGAACTGGCAATGTCGGTACACCCGAATTTTTGGCGATCCCTAAACCCATGGATTTCAAATGGAAAATCCATGAAAATCCCATGCAAATCCCAATCCCTAGTTGGAATCCCTAAAGCTTTGTGGATCCCTAAACTCAAAGTTAGTTTAACAAATTTAGTGGGTTAAAAAAAATAATAACTAAATGATGTTTAGATCTTGTGCTAAACCCAATCATAACCCTCAAGTTGGGCCTCTATCACCGATTTTTAAGGGAAGTCATTGGGACGGTTTTTATGCGCTGGGGGAAACCCACAGGATTGGGTGATTCGTCGTCATCATCATCATCATCATCCCATAGTAACCCCATAGTTTCCCATAATGATCCCTTAATCAATTCATAGTCATCCCATTAAAATCCAATGTTTTCCCATGATCATCGCAGCCACTAATTGAATGTGCTTTTGATAGTTGTTCACCAAATCAGGCTCAGAGGTGTACCACACACCAGGTTCGATCTACTCGTCGAACAACTCGTAGGTTTCACGAGCCGCGCTGGCTCTTCCAGCAAAAGCTGGTGAGTTTGAACCACAAATCGGAACAAAAAATCGGTGTTGTAGATGTTTCGGAGGATTGATTGAACTAGTTAGTTTGAACATGAAAAATATGCAAAATTTGATATCTCTCACTGGCTACCCATCATTTCGGAGTAACGGCAACTTGGATCCACAAGTGGCACCTGGGGCTGCAATGTTTTGCCCAAGGAAACCAGTGCAAAAGTTGAAACATGGCTTCTGCACGTCGCTGTTATGCTGTTGGAGCCTTCATCCATCGAAAAAAACGATGTTCCAGCAGTTTTTTCCTCCAAGGTTTCTACTCATTTGGTCAAATCTGCAGGGTTAAACTCCAAGCAAGGAACCGGGGGCAACCTCATTGTTGCATCTCCAGACATCTGCAAGTGCTCTCAATTGTCAGTTTCTCAAAATCCTCCATTCATTGCCCTCTGATAATTTAACATAGCTATGGTAAAACACCATTTTAACAGCTAAATCATCTATGAATGGTCCATTTTCCATAGCTTTTTTGTATGTTTACTGGAGGGTAACCATTTAAACCAATCAAAGCTCCAACTGCTCAGTACAACTTCTGCATAGCCAGGCCTTACGGCCTTACGGCCTCAGTTCGTTGACTTCGCCTTCCTCGTCGTTGCTGTCATCATCTTCGTCGCCGCAGGGCGAACATCGTTCGCGCCGGCAGCGGCGACAGAAGGCCGAGGCCGGCTGCCGGGGGCAGATGTAGAAGCAATTCCTGGGAGTTTCTTTGCGGAACCAGCAAAAATGCTGATAAAATAGCAGCAAAAATGGGATTCAAGTCTAGCAAAGAATGGGCATTTATAGTTGGTGTGTGATAGCTACGTTGGCTTAGTTCAGTAGGTGAAGGTTTGAATTTGTGGTATATCGAACTAGTTTTTACGGTTGATCAAGCAACAAACATAGCTGAGAGGGGTAGTACTTTGACATAAAATTGGGGATCAAGCATAAAATGGGATGGTTGCAACAAGGCGGGAATTGACATGTAAAATCCATGGTGAAAAGTGGGTGTCAAAGTCATTGGAGAAACTGGGTCCAAAAATTGGAATGTGGTTGCAAATCATTTATAGCGTAATCATAGTGTAATCAAATACCCTCTGGTTATTTAACATAGCCATGGAAAAGGCCCATTTATAGATGGTTTACCGTTCTTAAAAATGGTGGATCTTTCAATGGCGAACTGTTAGTCATAACCAGAGGCTAAGTCAAAAATAATAACCTCATAGTGGATAATCAATCGGTCAAAAAATCTCATTGTGTCATCACAGTTAATTAAGAAAATAGTGGGGAAAATGGTGGTTTAATGGTGGCTTAATGGTGGTTTAATGGTGGTTTAATGGTGGTTTAATGGTGGTTTAATGGCGGTTTAATGGTGGTTTAGTGGTGTTTTAATGGTGGTTTAATGGTGGTTTGGGGATATTTCATAGTGGTTTTTCAAGGTCTAATAAATTGCATGACGATAACTTCATAACTAGATCATCTACATAATTATTTAATCGATATCCTTCCAACCATCAATCAAGTACTTATCTTGTAACTTGGATCTTTGTTGCTTCTAACATGTCCAATTTTAGGTACCCGGCACCAAAATGTCACTATATAATTTTAGCTGGTTAGGCTATGGTTAGTATATCTATATATATATTATATAGACAATAAGGATATATAGTAACTATATATCCTTATTGTCTATATAACATATATATATAGATAGATATACTAACAGTATATACACAATTCTCCCCGTTATCTCAAAATTGTAGCAACAGATTTGCTACCCTCCAGTAATCAAGCATGGCTGTCTGGGAAAATCACCCAACTCAATGGTGAATTTTCCGCCAGCCATGGTAAATTTTTGGCAAAGGGTAGTACTAAATTACCCTTTAGATCCCTTTAGTATATAAATATGGATAATTTAGTACATGGAATATAGTATTGGTAGTACTGGATGATTTACATATACCCTTTGCCGGATATCAGTACTAAATTGGTACTACTAAATCTGGAAAAAACAAATTCATTCACCAACCTGAAACGTTCGCTCCACAAATATCCACAATACTTTCAATAGGCTCCCAGCCGCGGCACAAGGTGAAACCCATCTCACTAATCCAACTTCGACCAACGTTCAGCCGGTTGGGGATGATTCTGGTTGAGAATTCCATGATTCCAGTACCCTCTGGTAAACAAACGTAGCTATTGAAAATGGCCATAGAAATAGTTGATTTACCCCCAAAAATTGTGATTTTCCACAGTTATGTTAGTTTACCAGAGGGTAAATGTCACCATTCTCCCCACTTCTTCTGGTTGGTGGTTGACCTACCCCTCTGAAAAATATATAAAAATATGAGTTCGTCAGTTGGGATGATGACATTCCCAACTGAATGGAAAAATAAAATTCATGTTCCAAACCACCAACCAGTCTTGTTCACTTTGAAAAACCACCATTACATATTCCTGATCCACCATTAAACCACCATTAAACCACCATTAAACCACCATTAAACCACCATTAGACCACCATTAAACCACCATTAAACCACCATTAAACCACCATTAAACCACCATTAAACCACCATTAAACCACCATTAAACCACCATTAAACCACCATTAAACCACCATTCAACCATGATTAAACCACCATTATACCACCATTCAACCACCATTCAACCACCATTCAACCAGCATTAAACCACCATTAAACCACCATTAAACCACCATTAAACCACCATTCAACCACCATTAAACCACCATTCAACCACCATTAAACCACCATTAAACCACCATTAAACCACCATTAAACCACCATTAAACCACCATTAAACCACCATTAAACCACCATTCAACCACCATTAAACCACCATTAAACCACCATTAAACCACCATTAAACCACCATTAAACCACCATTAAACCACCATTAAACCACCATTAAACCACCATTCAACCACCATTCAACCACCATTAAACCACCATTAAACCACCATTTTCCCCACGATTTTCTTTCCCCCCGGGGTCATTGGCCAGCTCTGCCCAGCGTCGACAGAGCACAATCGAGTTGCGCTCCGAAGCAGCCCGCGCAGTGTCCACGGAGTCCTGGACGTGATATAAAAACATAACCTTCAGAAAACTCATAAACACAGTAACCCTCAGATCATAAACCACGGGATTGTAACTGGTGTTGGTGTTGTTGTTGGTGTTGTTGTTGTTGTTGTTGCTGTTGTTCTTGTTCTTGTTCTTGTTGTTGTTGTTGTTATCACTATGATTGTGATACAACAATACTTGGTGGCTCAGATCATAAAACCACGGGATTGTAACTGGTGTTGTTGTTGTTGTTGTTGTTGCTGTTGCTGTTGCTGTTGTTCTTGTTCTTGTTCTTGTTGTTGTTGTTATCACTATTATTGTGATACAACAATACTTGGTGGCTCAGATCATAAAACCACGGGATTGTAACTGGTGTTGTTGTTGTTGTTGTTGTTGTTGCTGTTGCTGTTGCTGTTGTTCTTGTTCTTGTTCTTGTTGTTGTTATCACTATTATTGTGATACAACAATACTTGGTGGCTCAGATCATAAAACCACGGGACTGTAACTGGTGTTGTTGTTGTTGTTGCTGTTGTTGTTGCTGTTGTTCTTGTTCTTGTTCTTGTTGTTGTTGTTGTTGTTATCACTTTTATTGTGATACAACAATACTTGGTGGCTCAGATCATAAAACCACGGGATTGTAACTGGTGTTGTTGTTGTTGTTGTTGTTGGTGTTGGTGTTGTTGTTGTTGTTGTTGCTGTTGTTGTTGTTGTTGCTGTTGTTCTTGTTCTTGTTCTTGTTGTTGTTGTTGTTGTTATCACTATTATTGTGATACAACAATACTTGGTGGCTCAGATCATAAAACCACGGGATTGTAACTGGTGTTGTTGTTGTTGTTGTTGTTGCTGTTGCTGTTGCTGTTGTTCTTGTTCTTGTTGTTGTTGTTGTTGTTATCACTATTATTGTGATACAACAATACTTGGTGGCTCAGATCATAAAACCACGGGATTGTAACTGGTGTTGTTGTTGTTGTTGTTGTTGTTGCTGTTGTTGTTGTTGTTGTTGCTGTTGTTGTTGTTGCTGTTGTTGTTGTTGTTGTTGCTGTTGTTGTTGTTGATGATGTTGTTGCTGCTGCTGGTGGTGTTATCACTATTATTATGATGCAACAATACTTGGTGGCTCATCACACTTAGTAAGCAGGTTAGTTCACCCCAGTTTTTTTGAGTGGATTAAGCCATATTAAGCCTACTTATCCCACTGGATGAACCAGGGGTATAACCTACTTAGTAAGTGGGATGAGCCACCTAGTAAGAAAACATAGAAAAGTCTAAATCTTCACGATATAGCCAATGTATACGTTTTATGTAGCCAATGTATGCTAACGTGATTTGGATATCATGGGGATATCAGTTGGAGATCATGAGAATATTGGGATACAATGTACAAGGTGAGGTTTCCAAGTTATGTTTGTTGGTGGCGTTGTTATCGTTGTTGGTTTATAAGCGCATCAACCATAGTTATATCCCCTCTCAAGCCAAATGTGAACCAAGTTATGTGCGTCACCTTAGCGATTTCGTAAACGGGGACATCACATTATACCCCTTTCATGCCAGCGGAGAGTGAAGGTCGAGGGGCAATGCTAGGAATGTGATGATACTTACGAGCCAATTGGAAGATCAACCGAACAACCGCGAGCGTTTTTCCTGGGCCAACATTGGAGATCGATGATGGGGGTTCCTGTTGGGATCATCTGTGAGGTCAGGGTCCGATTTTCTCAGGTTGGTTTTTTCCCTTCCCAGTAGAAAAAAAACGGTTTTATCCCATTAAAACCAACCCCTTGGATCATGTGCCATTTCATAGTTTGGAGGCATATCCGATTATCCCTTACATAGGCCTTGTATATGGTAGATACCTCCAGTTTAGGATGTTTAGGTACCTGAAATGGCCATTGATTATACCAGGTGAGAAAAATGGTAAACCAGAATCCAGGTGAGAAAAATGGGAAACCAGACTTCTAGCTGGTTAAAGTCCCAGCTAACCATGGGCATTCCTCCACCACATGCAGCTCCTTCTACATGTTCCATCAAGCAAGTGACCCCACAATCGGCTCGTGCGCGTCCCTGATCGACAGAAAAAATCAATGCCCTTCTGGTTGGTGGCTTATCCTACTTACTAAGTAGCTTATATCCCTGGTTCTTTAATCCACTCAAAAAACCGGGGTGAACTAAGCTACTTACGATTCGTGGGATGAAGCACCAAGTGGGGATGAGAAATTGGGGGGAAACCCGACATGTTCAAGTAGTTTGAGGGTGCAATTGGGGTTATTTCTAGGTACCATAGGATTTGAGCCCCCCAAATAGCTAAAGATATCACCCCTGCAACTATGGTTCTGCAACCACGCAAGCAGAACTGTACTCCAAAGGTTGCTGCCAAATATGCAATATTGGTTCACATCCCCTTGAGTCCAAGAAAATGATATCCTCATACTTGTGGGTTAGGTTACAAGGTGGTGCCCCCAAGTTCAAAGTGGGTTTATAATCCCATTAACTATAGATATATCTACCATAAGTCCCAGTTATTAGAGTTATGTTCACCAACTTAGCTATCGACTGGGGGCACCACATTGTACCGAATTTCAGGTTTCGCAGCATGTTGGATTGGCACCACCTTCCCATAAGTGGAATAGTTAAACCTAATTCACTAACGGATAACGATAGATCTGTATGAAAATGGATGGATGGCCATCCTCCAATTTTAATAAATAGATTATATTAACCATATATTAACCATATATTAACCATATATTAGCCATGCTTTATCGAAAATCCATCTGACCCTGCCACATCGAAAATCCACCTGGTGGGTGGGATGATTTTCCCAACGGAACCGACGAAACCTGGTAAAATTTTCCAGCCAAAGAGCGCTTCCAGGTCGCTGCCGACATGTTCTTAAAAACAGTGGGGAAAATGGAGAAAAATGGAGGACAATTGTGAAAAACACCATTACCCTTTGGTAATTTAACATAGCTATGGAAAATCACCATTTTTAATGGGCAAATCCACTATAAATGGCCATTTTCAATAGCAAACTGTTAGTTTACCAGAGGGTAAACTGGAGGAAAAAATGAATGGCACGCTTGGAAAAACCAAGGCCTTGGGCTCCGATCGGCATTTTCGGCCGCAGAGGGCAAAGGCGTTGGCGTCGTATTTGCAGTTTTCTTCCATCGCAGGGTCACCCGCTACCTGAGAGCGTGTGTTGTAACGTGACAACACAAAAAAAACGGGCGGCCCAGGTGTTCAGCCTCTTTTTTGGAGATTAAAATGATTAAAACATTGAAAAAATGTGGTGGTTTTTAGTGAATTTATGGGATATCATTGGATTTACCCTCTGGTAAACTAACATAGCTATTGAAAATGACCCAGTCGAACTAGTGGACTTTCCCATTGATTGCATGGTGATTTTCCAGATCGTTTTTTGTTAACGTTTACCAGGCCGGGTAATGGGATGCAACTGAGATTTATTATGGGGATGCAACCTGGGCTCAACCAAGTTCTTGCTGTATCTGCGCAGGATAAACCCTTCATTTGCTACTGGTTTGCCAATTGGTGTTGCTTGAAATAATGGCTAATAATGTGATAATAATCTGTGATAACATGTGATAACATGGGATAGTATAGTTATTCATTACCCTCTGGTAAATTAACATAGCGAACTGGAAAATCACCATTTTATAGCTGGGAAAATCCACTATTTCTATGGTCATTTTCAATAGCTATGTTAGTTTACCAGGCCGGGTAATCTATTTAAATAATTCATGTGGTAAACCTACGAAAATCGTCGTCATCGTTACCCCAACTAAACCCAATCGGTCCGATCACGTCGATCATCCCATGACCCAACCTGGTGATGTCAACACTTTGCGACATCGAAAATGGCGACGAAATGTCGTGGATTTCCCCATTGATAGCATGGTGATTTTCCATAGCAGTAACCATACCCTCTGGTAAACTAACAGTTTGCTATTGAAAATGGCCATAGAAATAGTGGATTTATATACTGTACCCATTGAAAATGGTGATTTTCCATAGTTTTTTGTATGTTTACCAGAGGGTATTGCTGGTCAGAACAAGCGTACGCACTTGATATCGGTCTTTTCTGGTTGCTGGTTGACCTACCCCTCTGAAAAATGATGGAGCTCGTCAGTTGGGATGATGACATTCGCACATTCCCAATATATGGAAAAATCAAATTCATGTTCCAAACCACCAACCAGTTTTTCAGTGCCATATTAGCTTACGAGGCACTTTATTCGGTTCTGCACCCCATTGGGGAAATTGTTCACACTGTTTGGCAGCTAGAGACTATCCCAACGACCATTAAGGACTTCGTTTGCTTCCTTACTGGAGTCCCCACTTGTTGTCGTCAAAGCCCCTAAGTTCCCAACATTGCAGAGTGATCTCTTGTGTTTGCTGGCTAAGATTCATTGTTTTATTGTTTTTTTGATTGCAGTGCATACATCATCAGCTAAATATCGATTTTTTCCGATGTTTTTGTTGAGCTAAACCCACGTTGAGCCAAGTGTTCGATCCCCATCTTACTGCTAAATCCAACGGTTTTTTTTTGAGTGAAATCCCCACATTTGACTATTTGGGATGCTAAGAATCTCCATCAACATCTGAAATATAGCTAATACCAATTAATCTCCACAAATATGGAAAAAAATATCAAAGATCATCATTCACCCTGACATGTTGGCTCATTTTCAGATACCCTCTGGTAATTTGTTACATAGCTATTGAAAATTGCCATTTATAGTGGATTTTCCCATTCAAAATGGTGATTTTCCATAGTTATGTTAGTTTACCAAAGGGTAGCTATCCATAAAAATGTTCCCATGATTTGCGCCTAAATGCCTCAGTGAGGTCATCAAAAATTGATCACCCAAAAAAAGCCCGAAAATTCATCTGGTTGGTGGTGCAATGTGCCCATCTTGAAAAATGATGGAGTTCGTCAATGTTGGAAGGATGACATCCCATTGCAATGAAATGGAAAATAAAATTCCATGGTTTGAAACCACCAACCAGGTATTATATGGGTGATATAATGATATAATATATGTATGTATGTATGTATATATATATATATGTATATATATTTATACATTATCCCATTCATGTTCCAAACCACCAACCAGTGTCGAATCCCAAGGTTCCAAAGTTTCTCAAAATCTCGTCCTAATCCGAATGGAAATCCCCCCATGGTTTACTCAGAGAATCCCGAAATCCCCATGATATTAAGTAGATGAAGAGAGTTACTAAATGATATTACTCTTAGTAATCTAATATTAATCATATTAGTTGAAAAAAATGATTACTAAGAAATGATATTACTCTTAGTAATCTAATATTAATCATATTACCCTCTGGTGAACTAACATAGCAATGGAAAATGGCTATTTATAGTGGATTTTCCCATTAAGGATGGTGATTTTCCATTGCTATGTTAGTTCACCAGAGGGTAGTTGAAAAAACATGATTACTAAGAGGGTGACCAAATGAAAATCCTCATGAAATGCCCATGGCCGCGCCACAGCTCGCAGCGTGAGCGCCACGAGAATCACCGCAAGGCGTGTCATGACGCCTTCGAGGTGGAAAACATGGGGAGATCTCTGAATTTCATGGGATTTCACCAAGGAACATGGTGAGTTGAACAAGAACAAATGAAACTTTCTGGATCTTCGGATGAAAATTCAGAATATATGTTGATGTCAACATCTTGCTTACAAAAGAAAGAATTACCATCTGGATAATTAACATAGCCATGGAAAGATCCACCATTTTATAGCTAGGTAAACCATCTATTTCTATGGGCCATCTATACCATGGCTATGTTAGTCATAACCAGAGGGTAGAGATAAGATAAGAATAGGGAATGCCGGGCCCTCGCTTGACCCTCAGATGTTACACATCACAGGCTGGAGGATGTTTAAGTGGGTAAAACCATGGTATTGTTTTTGGGGTTTTAGCCCCAAACAGACCGAAACGTTGGAAACCTGGAAATATGAGGTCAGCAAACCATCTAACCCATCCTGGAAACACAAAATTCTATCTATATATCATGTTATATCCCAATGTGTGGGAGTTGTTACCATAGTGATACCCATGAATAACCTCAACTGCACCACAAAGTATACAATTTGTTCCTGAGATAACACCATTTGAGTTGGTAAAACCACGAAAAAATCCAATCATTTACCCTCTGGTAATTTAACATAGCTATTGAAAATGGCCCATTTATAGTGAACTTTCCCATAAAAAATGGTGATTTTCCATAATTATGTTAGTTTACCAGAGGGTAAACCCATCAACAAACCATGCAACCATGGTTCACCGTTTCCCCGTTTCCGCACCTAACGACGCGACCGTGGCGAGGTCAGCAGGTCGGTCTTTTTTGAGCCACGAGCAGCGCTCGATGCTCGATCGATCCAGTGGTACGATCATACGACTGGTGCTACGACTGGTGGCTGATCCTACGAATCGTAAGTGGCTTATAACCTGGTTGGTGGTTTTAACCATCTTGAAAAATATTAGTCAATGGGGATCATTATTCCCAATATATGGAAAAATAAAAAATGTTCCAAACCACCAACCAGTAACTCTTAGTTCACCCTAGTGGTGGATCCCTACTTCTCCCACTGGGGTGGGTTATCCACCTGCGATTCCGAAGCCACCAAGTGAGGAGATTGAATACATTCAACTTTTACCCACCCATTTTCGAGCTGAATCTCCCGATGTTTGGGATCAGTACTCCTGCGATTGCTAACAGGGCCTGCAAAAAGTTGAGGTTTTTCGCCGGATCCCTTCATATTCCTATTTTACTTAGCTGTGGTATTGATGGCCTAGATGATTTACTCATTCAAAGGGATTTTCCATAGCAAACTGTTAAATGACAAGAGGGGACTAAAGTCGATTAACCTGCTCATCAGCCATTCACCAGTCGATTTAGCCATCATTTCGCGTTTCCATCACCAGTTTGGTTAAGTTACTTCATTTTTTCGTGTGGGTTACATGGATTGAAACCGACAAATTTATAGAAAGTGCTCGGATATAAAACCATCTAAAACCATCCGATTCCGATGGGTCGATGTACATCCCGCCGGGTTGGAAATGGGCCGGGTAAAAACAGCATTTTCATGTGACTGGCAAGAAGTCAATCATGCGTTTCGCAGTGTTTCTTCATGTTTTTATGTTGTCCATGAAGGTCAATTCTATTGTGATTTAGAATTTTCATTGGGATTTACTGTATGTAGTTGACATGTCGGAGTGCGAAAAAGGTTCCTTTTGGGAAGTCAGCGTGCCCAAAACCTCAGCGGCAGCCATTTTTTCCGGTGATCTCTACATCTTCGCTAAGTACGCACCTGTTTTCTCCAACAGGGCTTTTCCAACTACATTTGCATGACGTATGTGCGCACGTGCAAGTGAACGTGCCGTGGCGTAACATCAGGAGTGCGCAAGTACGTGAACGTTATTGCCCCACCCCACCCCACCCCACCCCAAGGAACATATAAACAAATGCCTAAAACGCTCGGACGGTTTTCAACCCGTAGGCATGTACATCATCAGGCTTACCCTCAGGTATTTCCATCGAAAAAGCGAACTGGAAAATTGCCTTATTTTTACTATAGGTTTTACTAGGTAGATCAACGATTTCTATGGGCCATGGCTTCAATAGCTATGTAACAGTCACCCGAGGGTAACCATTGTAGTCACACAAAGATCCGATCATCCCTTTTCGAACGTAGACCATGCCATGGGCCGAAAAAAATCGACCGAGTTGCCTGAAATTCCCAAGTTACATTAGGAAGAAACGTGGTGAAATTCCAATTATTCAAAGGTCATGTGGGTAAAACAATCATGAACCATCCCCCAGTCCCATTTTTAGAGGTGGTATGTTGACCATTCCCAGGAAAATGGGTGGCCAATGGCATTGTTTTAACCACAGAAAACTCTATAAAACTGTGGTTTTTCCGATTAAAATCCCCATGATTCAATGGCCATTTCAGGAACCGATTGATTGGAGGTACCTTACCATATATAAGGCCTATGTTTTAGGCCTTAGTTTCAGGGAATATCCCCAGAAAATATGGCCAAAAAAATGGTACTAACGTACCTCCATTTTAGGATCCTGAAATTCCCATCTGGTTGGTGGTTTGGAACATGTTTTCTTTTTCCATTCATATTCCCCACTGACGAACTCCATCATTTTTCAGAGGGGTAGGTCAACCACCAACCAGCCATTGATAATTCCCGTTGATATCAGTTACCCTCTGGTAAACGTTTACAAAAAACGAACTGGAAAATCACCATCTTTAAGAACGGTAAATCAACTATTTCTATGGGTCATCTACAGTATACCATTGATAATCCCCATGACATGGGTCATCTATACCATTCTAAATCAACTATGGAAAATCAACCAGCCATTGATAATCCCCATGATGATCATTTTCCACTCAATGATCATTTTCACCGGCATGCCGCCTGCACCACGTCGCGCAGCTCTCCGAAGAGGGCCTTTGTGGACCCGCCTGAAAAACGTCTTCGGAAAACATCGTGGACGTCCAAGTGGGTAGCCGCTACCCCAAGTGGGGAAAAAAACATGGGATATACCATTTACCTAGTACAATAGTTAATTAACCATAGGATATACAATACAATAGTTAATTAATGATGAATTTGGCAATTCGATACAATACCCTACAGCTCCAAACACCTTCTGAGACTGAATTGAAGTTGTTTTTTGGGGTCTAAACACCTTCTCACATGGTATTTGGAGCACTAGGGATAGCTAATTAATAATCAATTTTAATGGGGGATATGTACTGATGAGATATTTAATGGGATCAAATGACCGAATATATCTGGGTAAGGCCATCATATTTCACTAACCTGATTCTTGCCGCCATTTGGGGATGATTCCCCTTAACCATGACAGTGAGATCGTGATCAAATTTACCCAGACCATGGGATATCTATGGTTTGTGGGGTATATAACTATAGACTATAACATATACTATAACATACTATAACGATTTGTTGTTTTATAACTCGGGAATGGGTTAGTCATAAGATATGGATAGACCCATTCTGGGATAGATATTTTGTTTATTGGGATTAATGGTACTTAATGGGACTTCAAGGGACTGAATGGGACTTAATGGTGATTATCTATTATGGGATTTAATATTGTATAAATGGATGTTTAAGAAATGGAAACCTGTTGCCAGCACTTTTCGGCATTGCTCTCATCGAACTACCATCATACTGGCACACAACTTTCGGGATCTTTTGGGGGGTGCTATATATACCTTATATGTTGTGTAATGATACACATTAATTACATGTTTTGTTTTCGTATTATGGATAGGAGTCTCTAAAATCTTAGAACATATCAACCAGATGGAATCAGCCAGTTCGATTCGCGACACCGAAGTGTTAAACATGGTCGTCCCCTAGTTAACTAGTTCCTATCCAGCCAGTCATGTTTTCCAACATCGATCCCGGGGGATCCAGGGGTGACATTGCTATGGGAAAATTTCGGAAAAATGATGACACTCCAGAAGATTTCTAGGGGCACAAAAGTTGGTTTCAGAGAAGCCTGGTCAGAAATTCACCGACACCAACTTTCAGGTTTCTACTGTCAAATGGGGACACTGGGATTATGATGGATTATGGATCCTCCAGCCATGTGATGCCAAACGTGGTGCTGAAAACAGGAGCCAATGCCGCCGCCCAAAAGGTTCCTCTTTTTCTGCAGCATTCCTTCCTGCCGTCCGTCGAAACTTCTTCCAATTTCGGACGGAGAGACTGCCGCGGCACGAATTTTTGGATGGACCCAACTGATCTCGGAACAAAATCCACGGCTTCAGTTTCGTGATGCATCTTGATGTTTGTTGAAAACGGTTTTTTGGCTATAAAATTGCGAATGCTAAGGGTTGTTTGTGTTTCATTTAAGGTAAATGAAATTGTTGTTTTTTCATAATCCATTCCCCTGTGCATTTCATATTCCCAAGAAAACAATGAGTCTGGTTTAGTATCCTGTCTATTCATCGATTTTCGAGGTCTGAAAAAGGTGGTCTTGTTTTTGAATGATGAGTTTTCCTTTAAAGAAATTAACCAACGAATCCCAGGGTTCACGGCCCAACTAGTCGTCTTTGTGCTTGCTCCACTCAGGGTTCACGGTGCCTTTCTTATCCGGATGTTTGATCCTGGTCAAAGGCGGAGCTACGAATGGTGGTTTTCACTAGCCAAAAACGAATTCACCCAATGGGACTTCTGTAGGGTTACCCTCTGGTTATGTCAAAATAGCTATTGAAAATGGCCATTTATAGTTTGATTGTCCCATTAAAAATGGTGATGTTCCACAGTTATGTTAGTTTACCAGAGGGTAATCCATTTACAACTGGAGTTATAACCTACTTACTAAGTGGGATGAGCCACCAAGTAGAGATTTTCAACTGGAGGTACCAAGGTACCACTACCGGGGGAACCTATTTCTGTATGTCTTGAAACGGTACTCAAAACATATGCGAATATTTGGACAAGCCTATGGTCGCCCCCATTGTTTGATACAAGGTGGTGCCCCCTAGTTATGAGTTGGTTTATTGCCCAGACAAGTATGAATCACCACAACCCTAGTTAATCTAGTCATAAACCAACTTAGCTATCATACACCAGCTCCCAATCCCTATGTTTGTTGCTTGAATCATGTTAAATCCCAATTTTCTGCAAAAACCAGCTTAGCCACTGGCCATCAAACATGGCTGGAAAATAAAAAAGGATTTGGGGCACCGTCAGCCAAGGTTCACATCTGCATAGGCCATCTCTTGTCGATAGATGCGTTCCGTGTCCTTGGAAAACTGGTGAACTTATGTTGGTAACGATGTGGCTGGACTAACCCATATGTGTATATATATATATATAGATATATTTGGGGATAAAATGCCCATCTTATGACCCTGTATCCAGTTTTATATGGAAAATGCACCATTTTTTCTGGGGAGTGCAGTTCCACGAAGGTTTGTGGGGTATTGAAAACCATAGCTGTAGGGGTTCCCAACTTACGGAAATTATGACCATAATCATCCACTACTTGGTGGCTCACTACCCACGAATCCACTGGTAGGTTTTTAAAACCCCTGGTTCATCCAGTGGGATTTCTGTAGGGTTTTCATCCACTTCCTGGGGTGAATCTACTTGCGATTCGTGGGTAGTTCACAAACATAAATGGGATATATATATATATATATCAAATCCCTATAATTGTTAGTTCTATTATGTTTTTTCTACTATCAGAAATAGTGATTATACCAGTGATTCACATTGAATAGCTGAAATCCTCACAAAGATCCCTATCGCACTGGGGCGCAACCTTGCTATTGACTGTGGGGCATGGTGAGAAAACTATGATGATATCTAAGGTGAATTATCAACTGATCATG